TCTATCAATTGGCTCCTCTTCGTCGTCGCTCTGTTAGTACGTCATATGCTTCGTTGATCTGATTGGTTTATTTGGCCCGTCTATCACCAACATAGGACAATCAGCTAACCAGTAATTTCGCCCCTTCCCAAAATTACTTCTACGGAAGGTTTCCAGATGGATATGTGGAGCAAATCCATCTGGCAGAGTCAGGTTAAAGATTTCTGGCTTTGTCTGTTGTTTTTAACATTGTTGTTTGAAGCTGAGCGCAGACTTTTAAGCGTTCCTCTTTTGCTCCAAAAAACAACCACCTCAGTTTTTTCCTCATTTAATTTCAGAAAGTTCCGGCACATCCAGGCATTAATTTGTTCTGTAGGAGGATGGATAAACAGGCTGCAGCTATGCTCCGACCTGCTGAAGGTCTGAGTCTGAGAGCTGGATTTCATTCTGCTCACGGAAAACATAAAGATGAGTTAATTTTACCTAACCAACCCACACCTGCAGCTATTGTCCTGCTGACTGAATGGTCAACATGTATTACAGTTTACTTTCAACAGACGGAAAGGTGGTTGAGGTCTCATTGAAAGAGCTGAAATGACACCTTACTCAATAATAATTTTCTCATTTTAAAAGAAGTCTTTCCTTTGGTGATGGTGTTTAAAGCTCCAAATTAAAAATATAGATTTTAACACTTTACGAAAGCTGCTATCAGCTGCTTCTGTCGCACACAAAGGATTATTATGCAGAATCAGATAAATGTGTCTTACCATCCCCTCATTTCTGCCATCTTTGCGTCTGTGTTGGCTGTTACCCAGAATCTATTGTTTTGTTATATCTTCACTTATTAAAAGATTTATCACATTACAGTAAGAAGAAAACAATGATCAACGTCTCTTAAATGATGTAAAGCTTTAAAATGTGAGCAGTTTATGTATTTTCTCATATATTTGTAAATCCAGTTTGTTGTGGGAATGTGCTCAGATGTGTCAAAATCATGTTTTTCCAATTTATTGAAGCATGTTCTTGGAATTTGCAATAGTTCCTGAGAGAAATAAATTCAATTTTCATTCCTGATCATTTAGAGGACTTTGAAAGGCTTTAACACTCCTCTCCTGTTGTAAGTTTCTGCCTCATTAAGTTGCATCAGCTGCTATAGCACCAGTCACTGTCACCATAGCAACAGATGCTTGGAACCTGTGCAGCTTCACAGCAAGTTAGGTTTTCAGGTCATACGTAGACTAACGAAGAACCTCCATACAAATCAGATAGAAACATGGCTGCTGGTGTTCTGAATGAGTGACACACTGACCTGGTGTTTATTCCCGAGACGCGGGGAGGATCATCAGGGCTTATCCAGGACCTGTACAGGCCTAGGATGAGAATATCTAACATTTTTACAGTGTACACATCTTGGACAGAGGTTGTTTAGATCTTTTCCTTTTGTGTCGGCGCTACTGAGCAACATTTACTAAATCCATCCCAACAGAGACAGATTCTCTGCCCAGGCTGTCTCTCTGATGGAAACAATGATCATCCCATAGCCTAAGCATTGAAAAATAAAGGTATTTGAAAACTCTAAACTTTCGTATTTTTTTCCATTAAACATAAAAAACTATAATAACCAGACATGGATGACCCAGATTCAACCAGAGGCAACAGCTGCTCCAAAATGCTGCAGCCAGAGTTCTGATGTAAATGAAAAAGAGAGATCATATCTCTCCTATCCTGGCTTCTCTTCATTGGCTTTCTGTTAAATCCAGAATAGAATTTAAAATCCTCCTTCTCACATATAAAGCCTTAAATGGCCAAGCTCCATCTGATATCAGAGATCTGATTGTTCCTTATGTTCCTAACAGAGCACTTCGCTCTCAATCTGCAGGTTTACTAGTGGTTCCTAGAATTTCTAAAAGTAGAATGGGAGGCAGATCTTTTAGTTCTCAGGCTCCTCTCCTGTGGAACCAACTACCAGTTTTAGTCCGTGAGGCAGACACCCTGTCTACTTTTAAGGCTAGGCTTAAAACTTTCCTTTTTGATAAAGCTTATAGTTAGAGTGGCTCAGGTTATCCTGAGCTATCTCTATAGTTCTGCTGCTATAGGCTTAGACTGCTGGAGGACATAGGGACCCTTTTTCATCATTCTGCTTCATTCTATCTTTATTCTCCCACACTGCGGGTGTTGTTCGTTATTCGTTCAGTCTCTTATATTATGCCAGTTTTAGTTTAAACTGGTATAGTATTAGTGATCTATCTGTTGGATCTTGGCCTGTTTTCCAGTGTAGTCCTGTTTCTCTGACTGTAACTAACTGGATGTGCTCTCTTCATCCTCTGACATGGGAGCTGGCTCAGAGCTTGTCTACCTGGCTGTGTTTTTCTTTTAAGGGGCTGCCAGTGGAGCTGGTTGACAGTTGCCTTTTGTATCTCTGCTTGGCTGCTCACACTGAGCCTGGTTCTGCTGGAGGTTTATGGAGCCTAGGCTGAAATTCAACTGAAGAAACTCATGGCTCTCCTACATCCACCTGCGACACAGTCAATCAGCTTTGAACCACACCTCCATGAAAGCCAATTTGTATTCAAGCTTCATCTTAAAACTCCTCTGATCAGCAACTTGTCTGCTCCTGTAGGCAGGCGGCGGATGCGCTGTGTGACTTCATTCAGATGACCCCGTTTCAACCCACCTCCAGCCCCTCCTCCACCATCGTAGCTAAAGCTTCATCAGAGTTTCATTCATCCAGGACTCTTACTGCGTTCCCTGTCTCATCTCAACCGGTCCGGTAGAAGACAGCCATGTTGAGCCAGAGCCAGAGGTTCTTCCCAAAGGGGAGTTTTTCCTCTCCACTGTCGCTTCATGCACAGCCCTATTCTGTACTCCTGTTCATGCATATCTATCAAAATTAAGCGCTATCTTTCCTGCCGAGGTCTGAACACCAAAGACAATGTGATTCTATCAATAAATTTCTCCTAATTGTCTTTTCACTTCGTGTGAGTTTTTCAGATTGAACTTCCTGTTCAAAGGGAGTTTTCCTCTCCACTGTCGGTACAAGCATTCTTGATGTGAGGGATTGCTGAAGTTTTTACAATCAGCTGGTTTTCCTTAGATCGAAAACCTGGCATTAGCATTTCGTGCTCCTTGTATTGCTATGGCAGGCACCAATAAAGAGTCTGTTTTGTTCACATAATAATAATAGGTGCTTCCATACAATGCAAAGAACACATGGCGCTCCATGCTCCATGCATTGCTATGGCAGGTACCGATAACATAGTTCATTCACAAATTGCACATAAAAGACAATAAAGAGAGACATCTGACATCAAAACTAGTAATTTAAACCCCAGGATTCAGTTTAACTAAAGAAACTAAAGAACAAGCTTCATGTTTCCTCGCTGTTGTCCCTTTGATATAATTCTGTGTTTCTGCTCCTCTGCAGGGCGAATGCTCCCAGAAGTGTCGCAACATGTTTGTTGTAGAGTCGGTCTGTGTGGCCTGGTTCACCCTGGAGTTCCTGCTACGGTTTTTCAATGCTCCCAGCAAGCTGAGCTTCGCCCGCGGCCCGCTCAACATAATCGACGCCATCGCCATCCTGCCGTACTATGTGTCGCTGGTGTTTGACGTTGGAGAGGAGGTGCAGGATGATGCGGTGATGGGGGTTGGTAGAGGCTACCTCGACAAGCTGAGTCTGATCTTGCGGCTGCTGCGGGCCTTGCGGATCCTCTACGTCATGCGGCTGGCGCGCCACTCTCTGGGCCTACAGACATTGGGTGTGACCATGCAGCGCAGCATGAGGGAGTTCGGCCTGCTTCTACTCTTTGTCTGCGTGGCGGTCACCCTCTTCTCTCCTTTGGTCCACCTAGCTGAGAGCGAACTGGCTCCGTTTGCTGCTGCGCACCCCCACCACAGCTTTAGCAGCATCCCAGCCTCCTATTGGTGGGCCATTATCTCCATGACCACGGTTGGCTACGGCGACATGGTTCCACGCAGCCTCCCCGGTCAGATAGTGGCGCTTATCAGCATCCTGAGCGGCATCCTCATCATGGCATTCCCAGCCACCTCCATCTTCCACACCTTCTCCCGTTCATACCAGGAGCTGAAGCAGGAGTATGAGCGGGTGTGGAAGCAGGAGCAACACGACGAGGTCAGCGATCTCTCACAGGAAGAGTTCTTGTCTCCAAAAGGAAAGTGATGGAGTGATGTCCAGAAAGAAGCATCGATTCACACTTCATCCCAGTGCTTTCTGATGCTGCCCGGACATTGGCCATGTTAAAACGGACATTTTCATTGAAGACTCTCCATCCCTTTAAACTCTAAACCCTTCTAGATGCTGTTCTTTAGGTCCAACTCGTCCCGAAGGGTCAGTGTCCTATAGGTCAATATGTTCCTTAGCCTGATTACCTGATAACCTGATACCTAATTTAGATGGATAAGGTGCCTCCTTTAGTCATAGAGTTCTGAAAAGTCTTTGTAATGAATCATCTTTTAGTCAATTAAAGCAGGGAAGCATCTAAAACAAGCCGGACTCAGTTCTTGAGAACCGATTTTTTGACAACTGTGATGTGAATTTCCCAGTTTGGAGTCTTCCTTTTGGTCAGTCTTGTTCAGTTCTGAAGCTCTAACCCTTTAATAAGTGAAGATCCAGTTCTCTATATTCAGATTAAGGATGGAATGGCGATAAATGCTGCCTATAATCAATGAGGTCTATCTGTTGAGTTCTGGCCAGGATTTTCTGAGTTCTGTTTGTTGAGCATGTTCTCCTGTTTACTGCTTGGGTTCTCTCTAGGTGCTCCGGCTTCCTATTACCATCTAAAAATATGTATATTTGGTCCCAACAAAGCTAACATTTAAAAGGAAAGTTTTAATTGTCTTTGGATGGAGTTTGTTAGTTAGCCTCTTTGGAGCCTTGGGTCCTGAACACACCAAATCCAATTTTGCGTCTGATCAGATAGAAAATCGGAACGAGTCATGAAGTTTAGAGCTCATTCATAGTCAGTAGAGACGATCACAATAGACACGGTTTTCTGCAGAGGGCCTGTGTAGCTCCAACTGAGATAGAGACCTGGTCTATTTTAGCCGGACTATGCAACAATTCAGTGGCAAAATCCCAGATCAGAATTTTCCAAACATCAAACACAACCATGAATAAATCCCACTGATTTTCCTACAGTGTCTGATTTTATTTCCATGTGCAGGCTTTAACTTCCTAGGCAAACACAAAACACCCCTGCTGAGACTTTAGAATGTTTTCCTGTGTTGCCAGGTGTTCCAGTATCTCACACCAGACCCAAACGTCTTTCTGGGTTGTCTAGGTCTAGCATTAGACCTAGACAACCCAGAAAATTGGAAATTAGAACATGGAACTGGGATAATATGAATGAGATGGTTAGAACATTTCAGACTCTGAACAACCATGTTGTATTTTGGCATTCAATATTTATTTTCAACAACCTCCATACCGTCCATGAATTGAAGCTTCCGGCTGCGGTTCACTCAGTGGGCTATATTCCCACTCCACTAGGTCCTGAACTGATCCCACACATCCAGGTTTGTCTGGCATTTCTTGTCATGGTTACTCAGGTCACACACAACCAGGTTTAATCAGTTTTTCCAGCAATGAAAAACAGGAGACAAAGGGGCGGGCTGAATTTCCCAAAAGTGAGGAATGGGACATATAGTCCATTATTTTTACCTGGAACCTGAAAATTCTGATCTAAAATCCAAGTATAAAATTGTTCAGCTTCAAACTTGGAATCCAGCTGGACTTGGAAAGGGTGGTAATATAAACGGTTTGGTTTGATAACAGTGGTATAACAGTGTCAGCCACTTTACCGACCTACAATTAAACATGACTGAATGATTTATTAACCAAAAGCTCCAACTTAGATGGAGCTACGAGCTCCCAGTTTACCTCACGTGTATGTTTTGATTTGCTGGAGGAAACT